ATAGTGTTAAATTTGGATATAAGTACTAAACAAAATAATTTACTGTAAACGAATTTTGAGTCAGACAACAGCACCATTGTTAAAATCGAACTTAATTTAAAAAATAAAGATTAATTTTATTTGTATTGAAAAACATATAATTTCATTCTTTATTTTTTATTTTTGCATTTGGTATGTGACGCTTACCTTAAACATTTGCGAATCATTGTTTAGAATACGATTAAAAAAAAATTGAAATTATTATTGAACGTACGAACCTAAATTTCCGGTAGATACCTACTAAATTGATAAGTATCTATATACTATTTTGACGACATTATTCAGATGATAATACCCAATCCTCATATGGTGTATGTATATTGCACATAATATACATATATGTGAACTTTCACACAAATTACATGATAATAGTTGTGTTTTAGTTTTGTAAAGCAAAAAGATTACTGAGTTTAGGTGAAATCATAGAATACCATATAATACACAATAGAATGTCTGTCAACCTTACTTTGTAGGAGGATTTCCGTCGCCGGGAGCACACATACAAGCAATTACGTCGTATTATCAGTTATTACTAATACAAACACATTTTAGACTTTTGATTAATGTTTTTGACACATAAATGTTTCTTTATTTTTGTTTCTAATATTCACAAAATATAAATAGTTTCGACTTACTGGTTGTAGAATATGTCTCCTTTATTTAAATTCCATTTCCCGTTGTTCTTTCGACACGTAATTATTGCACTATTAGCCATTTTTAAATAATTTGCATGCATCGTCGCTTGACACGAAAATTGGAAACGATTGATTGTGTTGACATTTATACGGGTGAATTGACGTGTTAGCTACACGGGCTCCGCCCACTCCGCCGTTCTATTATGTATGTATTATAGTATTCTATGGGTGAAATAGTGAAAATACGTACGAATTCTATTTCATAATTTCAGTACTGTTTTTTCTTCTTTTATATTTAGTTCTAAGAAAAATAAAATAGGTCTGAGAATAAACGTGTTTTGAGTAAATTTAAAAATCATAACGTCTTATGTTTAATTCGTTATTTTTACTAAATTGTACGTTTACACACATTTTATTTTTAATTACTGATTGTTTTAATCCCAAAAACGCGGCCTAGCTTCCTTTATCCATATAGCACTTTCGAAAAAACTAACCAAATATTAAATATTTTGAAGTCAGTATTATTACTTGGGTATTACATATAACATACAATAGACAAATACGAGTTATTATATAAATTATATATTCTATTTACACATAGATCAGTATCACAAACATTCCAATATACTAAAATAGACTTAAAGACATTTTAGAGATCAATTTATCGAAATAAATTGCTTTAGTTAGTGAAAAGATACTCCTAAAAAATTAAAACGCTTCACGATGTACCTGAAACTATACATTCCTACAGTAAACATACGCTAGCTAGGTTACGTCACTACATGATTAACTAAGCAAATATGAAAATAGGTTACAAAAGCAACCCCTTTTCAGCAATAAACTGTAGTGTACCGGCCTTTAGCAACCTTAGCTTATTATCACAAAGACTTATTATAGTTGGACGCGTTACAACCACTATCATATCCACTTGCTAATATTTCACAATATATTTCGTATACTCAGGACATTGTTTGAAATTTAAAAATAAATCAACAGAAATCATTCAAAGCCCTAAAAATAGGAGTAGTTTCATTATAATTCACAAATACAAGTTAATTTGCTTTATTTATAGAATTGTTACCATTAACTTAATTAAATTTTATTTTATTTTATGTGAACCTTGTCATTGGAAGACGATAAAAAATTCTACTGAATTTCTAATTATTTCATTTAGAACAATTATTACCCACAAAATAATGAATGTATCAAATGATAATTTTATTGCACCCGACATTTTAAATACATAGAATTTAATGTAATGTTTTTGTACCATAGTTAATGTAAAATTGTGCTAACATCATTTATTAATTAATTTATTTTTAACTGCCTTTATTGGCAAGAAACACTTCGCTAACGCCTGTTTCAATACAATTTCACATAACTGTAAACAATGTCTAGGTACTCTCTTTTAGAAGTAATTCCATACTAAGATTAAAAGATATATTAAAGTACATTAACGTCACATAATTCGTTTTCATTTAAATATTTTGCATAAAAAGTTAAAAAAGAGTAACTAAAAATTGGATATTTCTTAGTATTTGTATATTCGTAAAAAATTAGATTGAAACAGATTATTTACAAACACAGTGTAATCCTTGATACCTTTAGATGTTCTAAAAACACATCCCTTTTTAACAATCCTTTTGTAACACCACACAAGAAATTCTAGCATTTGGCTATAAATAGTCTAATCGTCTTGAAAACGGTTAAAACCTAGTTTCTAAGTAATGTTATATACAAATATTACAATTAACAACCAATAACACTAACTTAAACGTGGACCTAAATTGTTTTTCATTAGGTCACTACTCATACAACTTTTGGTTTCTAATCCACTTGTGTCCGGCTGTCATTGAGTTCGATCAGGACTTACGGACGGACGATGACGTCAGATATGAGCCAAGTGTCAAAAGGCGTAACTTACAAAATCTCAATTTAGATGTGATAACAATATTTAAATATTGATATTATTCACACTTCTAGGTATGCACATACGTTTTTTTTTTTGTTTCTTAAATAAAATTGGCTGTGGTTCCTATAAACATCGTAAAATCTTACGGTACATCGCGAAAAAATGTGTTAAATTTTATATTTCAATTTATGGTAAGTAACGCAGCAATTCATTTAATAACAGTTTCATATTAAAAAAATATTTGAGGCAATATAATCACCATGTTGAGCTTTCGAAAATTCACCCCTTTAAAATTAACAAAACGCGCGTTACGTCAGTTCGTTCTAAAAGAAACGTGACAATGGCAGCCAGAGACGCGTCACTTTTTTGGGCTGGCCCGCATGCACCGAATAAAAATAAAGTTCTTATATTTGAAAATAAAGTTTTATATTTTGAATAAGTACGTACTTATTCGGTGTCGTTATCACTCTAATCTTTATATGTGTTATAAATTAATGCTTTTTGTTGTTAAATGAATAAAGTAATTTATAAAAATAGATGATTTTTCTTCTACAGCGATCTTTTACAGACCTTTTTAATAATCGTTAATAAATATATACAGAATGGGTCCCACATATATGCAATAAATGAAACCACAAGTAATACTAGTCCGTAGAAGTGTAGAAAAATTAAATACTCAATTAAAACCCGTAAAATAAAAAAAGTGAAATTTTCAAACAAAATAAATATTAAAAATAAATTCAGTAAAAGTGAACACTCTGTTTAGACAACGTACCTTGACCCCTTGGAAGAGTGACAACGTTGCACGCGGGTGGCACGCCGACAAAAGACACCGCAGTCGATATGTCGCAATACCAATAGTTTGCACTGCGTGGCAACGTCGCTTTTTAATGTTCAAGGATTCAAGTTCATTGAATCATTAACTTAGTGACCCAATTCTATAGAGTGTTCAAATTAGCTTAAAATTAAAACTCTACTTTTGACCTAATTACTGGACCGATTACGTTCATTTTTTTTTGTATATTGTCAGCAAAGGCGATAACAAGTATATGGTTTCATTTATTGCATATATGTGGGACCCATTCTGTATATTATATCAATCATTATAAAAAAAAAAAATATTATAAATAAAGATAGTACTACATATAAAAAATGCCTATAGTTTGAAGGTTTGTAACCCCTGGTTAAACGACCGGTCAATTTCCATTTTTCTCAATGGCTTTGGACGAACTGGGGGGGAGGGGCGGGAGGTGGGAGGAAGGGATGGGCAGCAGCGTCTTCATAAAAACAACAAGTGAAAAATAAAAAAAAAACCTGCGAAGACTGACAAATAACGCTCGTATAAAGCAATCTACGGGGAGGCTTGGTTCCACCGGTGGAATTTTTGTTAGGCTATAACGATAACACGAGGTGGCTCCATTTCTACCCAGTAGTCCGTCTGAACGATAGCTAATAATTTTACGCTCACCAGATGTTGCTGACACTCCCTTAGGTGAATTTTTTTAATTGAGAAGTAAGTTTTAAATAAAAGCTGATCATTTTCTAGAGTATTATATTAATACACGAAACAATGCCTGAGTGGTTTCCTGTTTTAATGTTTTGCACATTTTTTACTCTTTTTAAATTTTGCTACTTTTATGAATATTCTGTGGTTTGTTTTATTTATTTTTAATCTATTTAATATGAAATATAACTCATAGCACAGAAAGAAACATTAATAGTTACATTTTCAGAACAAATTATCTTCCCTGCTATGAAATCTGTCAAATATTACACGCAATTTTTAAGTAGCGTCGCCCTGGTGGTAAAAAAAGTCGTGGATGCCATCATTAGGAAGCAGTAATGCACCAGCTGCTGAATAGTAAGATGCAATATAATTACTGGCTGCGTGGAATTTGAACTTAGTGAACTTCTAGTGTGAGCGATAACGTGTACCCTTCTTTGTTTAAAGGTTCTTGCAGGTGTCCATGGCTACAGTAGCCAATTTCCAGATGGGCTGTAAACTTTGTCTATCTAATCTTACAAAAAACCACTTTAATTCTTCATATGCAAAACTTAAAGGTATACTTAAAACTATTATGGTATTTTATTTTTAATCTAGTAAGTTCGATATTCCAGATAGGTTTATATTACTGTTCAACAACTTTTTATGGTAAGTTGGGTAATTGTTTCATATAACAATAATAATAACAACACATTACTACTATTATTATTATATAATAAATTACCTTTTAATTTTTATTTATATTTAAATGTATTTGTTACATTAATATAGTTACACCCTTAAATCGCAAGTAAAATTTGGTTCTAACAATTAAGTTTTCAAAGCACCTATTTATTGTCACTCGCAGTGACATAAAAACAGGTAAGTTGTAACAATTCGCTTTGAGCAGTCTTTCGCACGACTTCCAACACTACGCGAGGTCCTCACCGCTCAGAAGAAACACCCGGAAGGAAGACTCGTCTACCGCATCCGTGTACATCAACTCCTCCTAAATTGAAATTCATCAAAATTATATGTGTAATCAAAAGTTAAAATAAAGTAAAAATTAAAAAAAAATTATAAAAACAAATTCAATGTTCTTTTTTTTCACAATTAAAATTTCAAAAATATTGTCATACAAGTTATGTTCTAGTGACCTGTCAGCACCACGATACAATGCAGATTACAAGGTATATAATATCCTATTATTATTAGCCAAAACATCCTATAAGTAACCTAAGCTGTATTATAAAGCCGTTGTGCGCGATATTTACGGGAGCTACGCTACAAAAGGGTTGGCTAGCTGTAGCACAAATGGATCTGCTTGAATGGAGAAGTACCCATCGTGCACAGATTTCTTACGTGACATATAATATATGATATAATATATAAAATATACCCGGCTTTTGGATGTGGAAGATCATACACATTCCTTGTTGGATCTTCTGCTGACCTCTCCGGACGGATATTAGGTTTCCGTCGACACCCCTCTCGGGTTTCTCGGCGGATTGTCTGATCCGGATTGTGGTGCCACTCTAGCTCCTTTCACAGTTGCGTTCTGCACGCTGCCGTCGTGTTTAGCATTACAGGTCGGCGGATTGGGGCGGAATGCGATCTTTCTTTGCATCCTACCCATGAGGACGAGTCTGCTTCTCGCCGGATGATCCCAGCGCTGTTGCTGACTCAGTCACTGATGTGGTGCTACAGGAAATGGAACTATTTATTCCATCATCTGTGATACCCATCGGAGGCATATCTCAACCTTGGTTTGATCGCCTCTGTAAGACTGCATTACGCAGTAAGCAGGAGTGTTATCAGGCCTGGGCTGACACTTCGGCGGCTCGAGATGAAAACACCAGCAAATTTAAAAAGAAGTATAACTCCGCCTCTAGGTCCTTCAAAAGAGTTGTTGCCAAGGTAAAGTATGAGCACATTGGCAGAATTGGCGTGAAATTAGTTTGCCTTCCTTCGGGAATCCGTGCATTCTGGTCTCTCGCGATGGCTGTCCAAGGTAATTTCTGTAAGCCACCATTGCCATCTCTGCACAGACAGGACGATTTACTGGCCCATGCCGCAAAAGAGAAAGCTGATCTTTTAGAATCTCTTTTTGCATCCAACTTGACTCTCGACGACGGAGGGAACACACCGCCGTCCATCACGCGGTGTGAGTGCTCTATACCTGATAAGCGATTCACAGTAAGTAAAGCACTCCTCTCCCTAGACAAGACCGTCTCTATCCTATATATCTATATAATCCCCCCTATTGTGCTGAGGACGTGTGCTCTAGAGTTGGCACCGATTCTAACGAGTCTTTTTCGGTACTCCTACTCCCTAGGCGTAGTCCGAAATTCATGAAAGACAGCTTTCGTGCACCCGATCCCTAAAAAAGGTAACCGCTATGATCCGTTCAACTACATATCTATCGCCATCATCTCCTTATTCTCCAAAATAATGGAGTGCATTATTAACAGCCAGCTCATGCCAGTACGGTTTCCGTCGTGGTCGCTCAGCTGGTGATCTTCTTGTTTATCTAACACACCGATGGGCGCAAGCGTTCGAGTCCAAGGGGGAAGCTTTGATGATTAGTTTGGATATAGCAAAGGCCTTCTATCGGGTTTGGCACAAAGCGCTTTTCTCGAAGTTTCCTTCCTATGGGCTTCCCGAGAAATTGTGCAATTGTTTCACCAGCTTTCTGGCTGATCGGAGTATGAAGGTCGTAGTAGGTGGTGCATGCTTATATTAACGCTGTTGTTCCACAAGGCATTACCAACTATTGCTATTACCAATGCTGTTTCTTCTACATATCAATGATATGTTGCAAACCGGTAACATTCATTGCTATGCGGACGACAGCACTGGTGATGCTTTATACACCGGCCGTGCCAATATTTCACGGAAAAACGTCACCGAGTACCGGAAAACACTTGCGTCAAGTCGAAACATCGTTGAACAAAGTCTCGGATTAGGGAAAACTAAATCTAGTCCAGTTCAATCCCAAAGACACAAGTTTTGCGCGTTTACCGCTAAAAAGAACCCCTTCGTCGTATCTCCTCAGTTTCAAGGCACTCTTCTTGTTGCCTCAGCCAGTATCGGAATCCTCTGCGTCGACATATCGAATGACGTGAAGTTTCATGGTCATTTGGAAGAGAAGGCGAAATTGGCCTCTAAAAATTTTAGCGTGCTCAGTAGAGCTGGATAGTATTTCATGCCGGCACACCGCCCGCAACTTTACAAGGCGCAGGTTTGGCCTCACGTGTAATAAAGCTCCCGTCTCTGGGCCGGGGGGCTCTCCAGTGCCAGCTCCTTTCATTTGATCGCATCCAGCGCAGAGTTCCAACCGTCGGCGACTGAGCACTTCGGTCAGTTTGTTTAGATCGGCTTGACTCACTGTTGCTGCGAAGAAATGTCCCATCTCTTTGCGTGTTCTATCGTGGTAAGTACCACGGGGAGTGAGCAGAGGAACTGTTCGGATTAATTCCAGCCGCTCAATTTTTAACTTCGCGCATCGCAATAGAACTCGAGATACCATCCTTATAACCTGGATGATTGGCGGTCTACCAATGTGCGATTCACAAGTTTTCTTCCGCGCACAACATCCTTGTGGAATCGACTACCACCAGCGATTTTTCCGGACTGATACTACTTAGGGATCTTCAAGAAAAGAGCCTACTCTTATTTTAAAAGCCGGCAATGCATCTGCAATTCCCCAGGTTTTGCAGTTGTTCATGGGCAGCGGTAGTCACTTACCATCAGACCAGCCGCATGCTCGTTTGCCCCCTCTTATACTAACAAAATAATTCAAAAAATAGCAGCATAATGCTGCTGACACGCATGACTTGAGATAATTAGGCTATGAGAATTTAACTTTTTGTAATAACTCCTTACCTGCATGAGATCGATAGTGGGGTGAGCGTCCAGTAGGTCGAGGTCGTCGCTGAGGGCAGTCGTTCCGTTGGACACCACACCACCACCCATACTCCTGAATTACAGATATTCACTTATTATTATTATAATCATCTGCTGCTACCGCTGATCTACTCCGATAAGTAGCAAGCGCCTACCAATAAGTGCCAAATACTGTCCAATGAGTGGCCAGTAGCTGCTAATCAACTACTACTAAATAATGAATAGTGACCCCGTAGTAACTCCTACCAGCAATTGACGTCCATCCATCAATGGTAAATGACATTTTAGATGAAAATTGTTGTAGTCGTTTCTTAAGATTCAATTGAAGCTCTTCAAACCGTTCTTTAACCTTCCTTCTAAGTGTGGACCTTTTAGGAAACACCATATTTGGGCAAATTGATCGAAAATATACTTGTGTAGCTTCGTCATCGAAAAATGAGAAGGGAACTGTAGCTGTCGTGATGTTGTCACTGCTATTTTCAGACTGAAACTATAATACGTATAATATGTATTTATAATTCACTCATATTTTCATTTGTTTTTATAATCGGCGAGACACATGAATTAATGTTTTATTTCAGTCTGAAAATAGCAGTGACAACATCACGACAGCTACAGTTCCCTTCTTATTCATTATTATTGAAAGGGTAATTTATGAATTTTATTACGATTTCTAGCAACTAAAAATAATTTTATTCGATAGTTTATACATACAACAAGATTTAAGTAGTGTAAGTTTTTATCCATAAATATTGTCTCAAAGTGAAAATGTAGCAAAATTTGTAGGTAAGCAAAAAATTTGCAATTGCCGCCATTTTAAGATCTCGAGCGAACTCGAGTGTAAAATTACGTGACCTTGCGAGCTAACAGGTTAAGTGTGATATCTATCACCGTATCGTGGCTGTGTAACAATATCCACTGCCCCATATCATCCTGTGGGTGTCGTAAGAGGCGACAGTGGGAGACAAATCAAGGGAAGGGTAGCAGTATCTTCTTAATAACGACAAAAAATTAAAAACTGCAGTTTCCAACTCGCTTGCCAAGCGTGGTAACTATGGCAAATATCCTTCTTATGAGGAAACCTATGGGGGAGGCCTATGTTCAGCAGTGAACTTTAATAGGCTATAAAGGTGATATCTGTTTGGTGCCTGTTATTGAGCGGCAAACACACTGCCTATGAATGACAAGTGGCTGCTAATAAGATGAGATCCACGGCTTTTTCTGCATCAGGGCGGCACCATTTTGCAATATGGTGAAATATTTGACAGATTATTTCTTAGAAAAATGTTAGAGTTAATGTTTCTTTCTGTATTATTAGTTATGTTTTATATAATTAGATTAGAAATGAATAAATCAGACTATGGATATAAATAAAAGTAGCAAAATTAAAAATAATAAAAAGTGCAAAAAATTAAAGATCAAACCACTAAGGCATTGTTTTGTGTATTAATATAATACTCTAGAAACAGACAAACAATTATTATTTAAGAATAGTATCTAAATTAACTGACATTGTGTAACAAAAACATTTACCTCATTCACAATTTGCTTCAGATCATTTTGTTTTTTTTTTATTGCTTTATAATAGAGAGTCGACATTACGAGGGCGGCACTGAAAATTTTGGGAATCAAGGAAGTGACACAACATTACTATTTAAGAATGTATTTATTGCTTTTCGAAGTATTCTCCGCGAAATTTGACACATTTTTCCATACGATGGAACCAATCATTGAAGCAACCATTCCATTCGGAAGTTGGGTTCTCCAAAAGGGCCGTTTTGTAGGCGTCCACAGCTTCTTCAGGCGATGAAAATCTCTGTCGACGCAATTTATTCTTTATTTTAGGGAAAGTATAGAAATCATTAGGGCTTAGGTCGGGGCTGTACGGTGGATGGTCTAATAATTCTATGTTTTCTTGCTCTAAAAACTCTTTTGTTCTGTGTGCGGTGTGAGAACTCGCATTGTCGTGATGGAGGATGATGCGGCGGTTGCAGTTCTCTTTACGGAGTTCAGAAACGACCTGTAGCAAACAAATACTAGAATACCATTCTACATTAACCGTTCTTTGTCCCTCAAGAGGAATAGTCGTAACATGGCCGGTTTTGGAGACAAACGTAGCCACCATTTTTTTTGCAATACTCCGTGAACGAACAATTTTTGTTGGCTTTAACTCGTTTTCGAACACCTAAACTCGTGACCGGTTTTTTGTTTCGGGTTCGTACGTATATCCAGGACCTGACACGATGTTGTATACAGCATTTGAGGATCCTGCGTGGAATCTTTCGAGAGTTCTGACGCACCAAGTAACGCGAGCCGCTTTTTGCTCTTCACAGAGCGATGCGGAGAGAGAGATGCGGTATCCATCGGGAAAACAACTTTTTTACACCTAATTGTTCATGCAAGATTATTTGTATTTGACTCATGCCAATGTCTAAAGTTGCCTGAATTTCGCGGTATGTCACATGCCGATCTTCCTCAATCAGCTTACGCACAGCATCAACGTTTTCTTGGGTGACTGCAGTTTTTGGACGACCTTGATGAGGATCATCACTGAGCTTGACACGTCCACGTTGAAATTCAGCAAACCAGCGATAAATTGTGGTTTTGGATGGGGCTTCATCAACAAATGCAGAAACCATCCGGTCAACACACTGTTTTTGTGTTAAACCACTTCGAAAGTCATAATAAATCATCGCATCGCATTCTCGAGTCAATTCCATTTTCTCAACGACTAAACAAGTTTGACAAAACCTTGTGACAAAACCGAGAATATTTTTTTTAAATAATTAAATGGTATTCGATTTTTAAGACCAAGGAGTTTTCAATTAAAAAGATTTTAATATGACAGGATCAGTGGAAATATTTCATTGCCAATACTTTTAGTGCAGCCTAGTAGAGAGAACTTAACATTAGCCGTCTTATTATTACAAAAAATAGTTGAAACATAATTAGTCCCGCGTATAAACAAGAAGTATTTGCCACTAAAAAGACCCTTAGTCGCAGCGCCACAGTCTTTTTTTTTATAGCAAAGAAGACAAACGATCATACCGCTTTACCTGATGGGAAGTGAATACCACCCATGAACAGCTGAACACCAGGGAAATTGCAGATGCATTGCGGGCCTTTTAAAAAGGAGTAGATTCTTTTCTCGAAGGTCCCTAAGTCGTATCGGTCTGGAAATATATCTGGTGGTCGTCGATTCCATAAGTTGTGCGAGGAAGAAAACTTCTTCTAAATAACACAGTGGTGGACCGCCAGTCATACAGATGGTATGGATAGTATCCCGTGTTTCGTCGCGATTTGCGATGGTAAAATTGTACGGCTGGAATTAATCAGAACAATTCCTCAGAGCACTCGCCGTGGTAAATGCGATAAAATATGCAGAGGTGCAACCTCTTCGCAGTGGCAGTGGTGGACCGCCAGTCATACAGATGGTATGGATAGTATCGCATGTTTCGTCGCGATGTGCGATGTTAAAATTGTAAGGCTGGAATTAATCAGAACAATTCCTCAGAGCACTCCCCGTGGTAAATGCAATAAAATATGCAGGGGTGCAACCTCTTCGCAGTGGCAGTGGTGGACCGCCAGTCATACAGATGGTATGGATAGTATCGCATGTTTCGTCGCGATGTGTGATGGTAAAATTGTACGGCTGGAATTAATCAGAACAATTCCTCAGAGCACTCCCCGTGGTAAATGCGATAAAATATGCAAAGGTGCAACCTCTTCGCAGTGTCAGTGGGTCAAGCCGATCAGAAAGAGATCGGTTGTCGACGATTCTAACGGCTATGCGCTGGACGCGATCGAATGGAAGGAAGGAAAATAGAGGAGCTAATACTGGAGAGCCCCAGCCCAGTGATGGGAACATAATTCCACGTGCGGCCGAATCGCTCGGGATTTGACGGAAGCATGCGACGGCTTGGGAATTTATGGCGATTGAGGAGTTAATATCTAATTTATTTAACAGAAATGATAAATATATGTAACGAGTATTGAGTTGTCATTGAGTGGTCCCTGGTAATATGTGGCAATTGCGTTGCCAATGAGTGAAAAGCAAAGTGTTTAGAGTAGGAGGCGCTTAATAACGAAGGCCAAGTGGTCCATGTTAATGAGTGGCAATCGCGCTCGTAATGAGTGGCAAAAGTGCTGCCAATGAGGACTGATAATAATCTTCCACTCATCAGATGTCGCTAGTTCCCAACTACCCCCTGAGGTAAAGTTTTGTTTTGTTTGCTAGTTCGGACTGTGGTGAAGTTTGGACGCAATGTTATATAGTTTTAAATAATATTTGATCAGTTTCTACGGTATTAAATAATTACACAAAACAATTTCTCAGTGGTTTGCTTTTTAATTTATTGCAAATTTTTCAACTCTATTGCGGTCTTTTTATACATGTTGTGGCGTAAATAATTTACTATAACATGTTATAACTTTAACTATTTTGCTTTTTTTGTTTCTTTTTTGCTTTTTCCTTTTTTTTTTCGTGAAGTTGCTATCGATTTCAAACATTTGGTGTAATTTTTAGTGTTCATAATTGTGTCAAAGATTATTAATAAATGATATTTTTATGCAACAGTTGTAACAAAAATTTCGTTCTCAATTAAAAAAAAATTGTTTTAAATTAATGAAACATTTTAAAATCGGTTTAGTGGGCATCACGTTAAACGAATGGGCATTGACAGTTTTACAGAATTTTATACGTTTTTGGACAGTATTTTTAAACTATTTAGCCAGGTCATAAGTTCTGTCAAAAACTTTTTATAAAATTAACGATACACTTTTTGATAACCATATAGAACTTATATATGAAATGAAAGGAATTTAATTTAGAATACAATATTATTTACGTAATTCAAAATGCCCTCCCATTCTTATTCGACGCGGCCAATCATCAATCGCAGCACGCACCACACTCATATCTATTTCTGGCGCTGCTTTAGCCAAATATGCTCGGAGAGATTCCGAATTCTGATGAGGTTAAGCGCAGACTTTCTCCTCCAAATGTTGCCATATCTTATAATCCAGTGGGCTTAAATCTGGACTAAAAGAGGACCAGTCTTCATGTCCGATAAA